TTCCTCAAAAAAAAAAAAAAGGAGATTAGCCCCATCTCCATGGGACAGGGCCACCCTCCGCTGCAGCTTCTCTGATCTCCAGTGCTCAGCGTGATTGAAAAGCTGAGTGAGGTCACATCCCTCATTACTGGTACAGCTGATTCAAGCCTAGCCTTCCTCCTACACCATGCTGCTCTTCTTCATCAGCCATCTGCAAGGTGATAACATCAAACAGGTTGTCTATTTCTAAGATCATTTACATTTAAGAGCAAACGCTAGAACTCCGAAAAGCTTCCGTCAGTTTAAGGGATGGATGGGTAGTGATAGAATTTCAGGCAAGGTTGTGCAGAACAGTTGAGGCCGAGTATTGGCTCAGGGCCCCTCCCCATCCTTTAGTCCACAGTCCCACTCAGGAAGGCTGGCGCTGAAAAGACCTCAGCGACCACCCATTCCAGACTTTCACTTTACAGAGAAGTGAAATGATTTTCTCCAAGATTACAGAGCTGGGGAGTGGACGGGCAAGGTGCCTGGTGAGGCAGATTCCAGGCAGGGGCACTTTCCACTGCTGGTGAGCAGGTGAGCCCTGCCTGTCTTTGCTCACTGCCCCACCCTTCTCCTGAATGCTCCAACCTGTCATTCCCTCTGCCTGAGGGCAGCCGGTCCACCTGTTCAGTCCTTCCAACCTCGTGTGTCCAGGGGAATGAGTTACTGCTGGAGATTCCAGAAAAGCCCCTCAATCTCCTCACAGTGTGTGTGTGTTTAGAGCTGTAAACACTTCTTTTCATGATAGGAGCTTAGAGCCAGCTGTTCCTGAGGGTCTCTTTTAGGTCACTGAGACTAGGATTCGAAAGAAAGATGATTCTTCATGTCCCATCCAACTCCCGAATTCCTGTGATTCGATGACATCAGGACTGTGAATAATCAGACTGGCCCGAAGCCAGGATGGGTAGTGCTGTTTCCATCGTGAACTTCCTCCCCTCTTTATGGAAACAGGCCCGCCCCGGTTTGGCTCCCTTGTGGCCCTGTCCACTGGGCATCCTTCTGCTGCAGAGAAACCCGCCCACCCAGGGCCACCGACCCCACCCCCTGCCTTGAAATTTAAAGGAGGCCAAAGCCGTGCAGGGAGATCGGGAGCTGAGGTCCTGCAAGAGCCCAGGGCTGAAGAGAAAGCCTCTCCGAGAGAGGGAAGGAAGGCAAGGAGTGGCTGGCGGTAGGTTGAATTCTGTGCCTCTGTGTCTGCCTTCTCCTCTTTTCTCTCTTAAAAGTCTTTCCGGCAAACCAAGCCAGGGAAGGAATGCCTAAGTGAGGGACCGGCTTTATAATTCGGGCAAAAAGAGGACAAGCTAGAATCCGTGCCCAAAGGGAGATTTCTTCTTGAATCTGCATTCAATTGGGACAGGCTGAAGTGTTTTGGAGGGGTGAGGTGGTCAGGGGAAGAGAGAGACTAGGAGGGAGGTATTTCTTGGAGAAGAAATCTCTGCTTGCAGAGTAAAGAGGAAAGTGAAAAGAATGATACAGAAATGCTCTCAATAGACAAAGAAAGGATCTCATGACTAACGGGCAAGAAATGTAAAATCAGCTGCCTTGGGGACACAGGGCTGTCAGGGCCAGAGGGTCCTTGGGGATGTCTGGCTGCCTCTCTCCCAAAATGAGCCTCTGAAGGGACTGAGGCTGGGGATGGGGTGGAGAGAGACTTACCTCCAGAGCATGATCAGCTGAGATGGGAGTGCTGGGAAAGAGATGGAGGAGAATGTTATAGAAGGGTCTCTGATCTCCCCCCAAGCCCCACATCTCCACTGGTCAGTGTCGTCCTCTGGCTTTTTGCCCAGAGTGAGGTCCTCTTTAAGGACTTTTCAATTACAGGGGAAAATGCCTTCAATGTCTTTTATTCCTGAAGCTCTCTGCAGGAGGCATAGGAAGGCTCTCTAGATTTTCACTGTTATTATCTTTTTCTTAACCTCACAGCGGGGGAGGGAGGCAGGCAGGCAGGAAGGAAAGGAGGAAAACATGCTGAGCTCCCAGGTAACTAATGACAAACTCAAGCCCCAAGAAGTGCTTATTTGGTGGCCAAGTTGGAATAATAATGGTGGTCTCCTGCAGCTGATTAATGAGAGAAAAAATTACATATATGTGTGGGTGCATTTGCAATTCCGTGAAGAAATTCTGGAAATCCGACTGTTAAGCGGAGTTCCCTCAAAGGGACTTCCTAGCAATTCTTGCCCATGGGCAGGAAGACTCATCCTGGGATCTAGACACCGACTCGTCCAGAATCAATATATGACGGTCAGTGTGAGCTGAGTGCTTCCTGTGAGAGCAGAGCCAGACTCGGGGCACCAGCAAGGACGCCATGAATACTGAAATAGAAATAGCTCCATCCTACCCATCAATTTATTTTACCTAAGATGTTCTCAGAGACGCCAGCCTCGAATCTCTGGATCTCGTCAAGAGCAAATGATAGCTACTCTCTCTGCCCGAATGGCTCAGTCTCTGTCCAGACTCCCCCAGATCGTCTCAGTTTGTTCTGTGATACCTCGTATCAGCCTCACGGTGTCTGTGCTGCATCACTGGCCTGGGAGAGCACATGCCGCCAGGGCGCAGCTGAGGAACAGCAGTGATTCTGTTATTAGTTTGTGCTCACTGAGGCAGGATTCCGGGACTGGGCTTTTACTTCCCCCAGGGCCTAACATGTTGATGAGCAGAGTTGATGGTCAGTGCATTTCAAACTATTCTAACAAGCAGCCCAGCCACACCTAGCAACCATAACCATCCAAGGCTTTTGTAAATGAGTGGCTGGGACCACAGAGCATTTGGGGGAAACTACTGTGCTTGTGAGGCCTTTACTTAGTCTGCCAACAGGAGTTTTTCTGGTCACATGGTTTTACAGCAACTTAAGGGGGCCTTTGGCTAGGATCAACATTTGGAAGGAGCAGTGCTGGCTTCGGGGCTTCCAAAGCTTCTGGAGTGCGTGCAGGTTATTTTTGATCAGACAGCTGAAGTGGCAACCTAGTTCATAGCAATGGTAGTGGACTTAGCTCCAGTCAAAATTCAAAATCCATGTACTTCTCTGAGACACGAGTATCTGCTGGTAAGGAAAAATTTGAGTTTTTAGTTGAAATGTTCAGTTTCACCTGGTTATTTGGCATTGTGCCTCTGTAGTCTCAGAATAAGATTTCTATTTTCTGTGAGTGATTTTCATCTGTTCTGATTAGATGGCTAGGATGGACAATGAGTGACCAGAATATTCTGTCCATTCCTTCTTTGGGCCATTTGCTTTGCATGGAGAAAAATTCTGTCCGTAGTTTCAGGCTATAGACCTCATCCTTGTCAACCAGCTTATAAAACCATGTGTTGGGTCTCAAATCAAACCAGATAAAAAAGTGAGGATGATTTAGACTCATAGAAAATTGGAGTTAGAAAGAATCTTAGAGATCGTCCGGTCTGGTCCAACCCCAAGTCCAGCCACATGGTCTTCTGATATTGGCTTAGGAGTCTACTTACATATAAGGACAGCACATTTTCTTTGTGATATTTTGTACATTTTATATTCCACTGTCCTGCCTGGGAAATAGACTTCTGTAAAAAGGGCTGGAGGGACAGATAAACCTCTTGGTCACCTGAAAAATAAGACCTATGACAGAAGGGAAAATGAGCCAGGCACACACAGGCATTTCATACATGTTTTTTGAAGGGATGACTCAGGCAAGTTCTGGTGCTGATCACGATTACCCAGGAAATGCTAACCAGCCATTCTTCCTATAGAACTAATGCAATTGGGTGTCCTTAGCAGCTGCCCACCACCATCCATGTCAATGGCCATTATCTGAAGATGACTGTTGGCCAGCAGGCCCAGCTGAGGTGCCCAGGATGGCTATGCGATGCTCCTGACACATACACCAGTGGCTTGGAGGGTTTGTTTGGGAGTTGACCTACAAGACCTGATTCCACCTGGAGCCTCTGAAGTGACCACTTCAAGGTCAGACTAACCCCAGATACTGGGAGATTTTTGTATGAAGAGGCTTTTCTGTTTATTATACAGTCACAAATATTCCATTAACTTATGACTAGGCATTAGGGAGTCCTCCCCCAAAGGCCCTACATCGTCAGAACTCTTGGGCTTTCCCAACCACACTTCCTCCTAGGAACACCCTTGAAGGGAGAGTCTGGGGTGTGAGAATCATACTCCTTTGCCCGAAGAAAAGTGTTTTTGCCACAAAGTAAGGGGCTCTGGCTGCTCGCTGTTGTCACCCTGGGCCCCAAGCAGTGGGCCCCTCTTGGGGATACGCTCTGTAAGGAACACCCCTTCATTGCCTGGCTAACGCCTACTTTTGTTCAACAAACAGCTTATATAGTATCCATTCCAGAAAGCCGCCCTGACCGCCCCCCACCTCAACATGAGTGAGCTGGATCCCCCTCCTCCACATTCCAGTAGGACCCCTTCTTTCTCTGCACTCCCACCTCCCATGCCCACCCCCTGCATATCCCAGCACTGATCATACTGTACTAGGATTGTCTAGATACTTGTCTGTCCCCTTCCCCAACTATGAGGTTCTGAGGATAGAGCATATGTGTCTTTACACCACAGAACCTGTGCCTGGTGCGTGGTGGGTGCTCAATAAATGTTTGATGGTGAATACGGAGAGTGAGTGAATCATCACCGGGGAATTCAAGAAAGGAGGACATTAGCCTGAGCTGGGGCTTGAGGTCGAGGTGGATGGGATGGGGGATCTAATAGACGCTGGGAGGATGGCACCCAAGGAGGTTCTCAAACCCCTCTGTTGGAGATTTTTGCATGAACAGTTTGATGCGAGCTGAGTTTCTTGAAGGTAGGGGACAAGGGCTTTGGTGGGGAAGCTGAACCCAGCACGTGCTATGAATAATCTAAAAGAGAGAGACTACCAGTCAACTCGATCTCTGCCAGCTATTTACGTTTTGTCATGTTCATAGAAAAGAGAAACTTGCTTTATTTTGCCTCATTGTAGCAAGAGCCACTGTCTGCCACCTGGGCTGCAGAGAGAAAGGGAAGGCTGGTATGTTTTTCTGGGAAGCTCCTGTCTCCTTATTTTTCCAGTAAAAGGTCTCTGGTTTTCAAACATCCATGTGTTCTGCATCAGATGGGCCTTATCAGTAGCGAGGGCCTGTTTTCCATCTGTCCTGGCCGCTAATACTAGCTTCCTCCGAGAGTCCAGAATAGCCCTGGCGTGTGCAGTATGAATAGGCCTGGGAAAGGCAAATAAAAAAGCAGATTAAAAGTAGGATGAAAGACATCACCCCATATTCAGGAAATAATGGCTCCTGTTAATACTGATCTGTACACATAGATGCAGGGCATGAACTTTTATGTCAATTGTAAAGGATCAGGTTACAGGTTATCACAAGATGTTCAGATGATCTAGGAAACAATATGGTATTAACACTTGAACATGACAAGGACCCCAAAGAGTTTGGCATCCCTCTGCCATGGCAACTTGTAGTTATTGTTCCAGGGAGAAGCTGTGAACTTTGGTGCTCCCAGTTCTGAAGGATGACATGACAGTAAGTACAGTTAAGCCTCGGTGCACTGGCCGTGGAGTAGGGCCTTTACCTGCCTCTTCTCTAGTTGCTGTAACAATTCAGCAAGGCAGAAATGATTAGCCCATTAGGAAAACCAGGAAACCACACAACATGTAAATGGTAGTTGGAGTTTGAAGTTGAGACTCCAGAGGCCATGCTCCATGCATTGTGACATGCTGCTCCTCTCAAATAGCAACTTTGAGCACACTGAAAACCTTCCAGTCCAGCATCAGGACACAGTAAGGAGTAGTGGAAAGAGTGTTGGGTTTTCAATAGAAGAACTGGGTATCCTGGGTTGAGTTCCAATGCCACCTCTTACAAGGTGTGTCACCTTAGGGCCGAGTCCCTTATACTTTTTTGAAGTTCACTTCTCTCATCTGTAAAAACAAGATAACAATATCGCCTTAAATGACTCAGTGGATTCCTGGCAAGCGTTAAGTACTCAAATACCTGTTGAGTAAGTGGCATTACTCCACACACATTTCTCAAAAATATACTATAACGTCACTTTCAGGTGAGCCCAGTAAAATGCAGACAAATTCATGTAATGATACAAGGAAAGCTTCCGATCATTTTTTCCCGGTTCAACTGTGTTGAAATCTGGAGGTAGACTGAAGAATTATCAAATTATTGCATATTTAATTATTTTGTAGTGATGTTTGCTTTCGGGAGTGGAAGGCACATAGGAACTACCCTTGTTGCTTAACAAGACACTCCTTTGGATTAACATCGATTGCAGGGTTTAACAGATTTTAACAGATTCAGACATTGGGATTAACCTTTTATTACACTGACTAAAGAAGTTAGCTTTTCCCAGTTGAATCTTGTTTTTTCTTCACAAGGATCTAAGTTTATTAGGAAAGAATTTCTTTTGTTTTTATCGTGGGAGGAAGCAGGATAGTAGGAGGATGTAGGATTGACTTCTATTTTCCTAGACCCACAACTGGGCCTCCCTTAGTTCCTCCAGATAACCAAGATTACCTGGCAGAGGGTGGAGAGTTGAGGAGATGACAATGCTCAGTATAGATCTTTCTGAGTAGCCAGGTCAATGTCGTATAACTTAAACACAGGTCATATGCCTATAGTTTGAAGATGCTTTGGGGAGAATTCTGCCCTGAGTAGTTGAGAGGAGATGGGGGGGGGGGGTGCCAGGAGAGGATTCTATTCTATTCACATCATCGGAATTGATCAAATTAGGTCAGAAACAGACTCTTCCTCTCTTGTCCCCTAGTTATAAAGAGTTCTGTTCAAGAAGAGAGAAATAAGCTTTGGCACATAGAAAATTACCTTTTTGAAAAGGTAAGAATTGCTTATATGATGGCAGTTTTTGAAACTGGTTTTTATTCTGAGAGCAGAGCCTCTATAAAAGGCAGGACCTGCCTAAGTGGGGCCGGAGCTATGAGGCCAAGGGCTCCCCTCCTGGGCTCTGGCTCTGGCCCAAAAAAAGGGGAGCTTTTGTGGGAGCTCACCACCCTTTCCAAGCCTGGTGCTTCCTCCCATCTCACCTCGTCTCTTGTCCTGACTCTAGCGATCTGCCTTTGCCGTTCCAAGGAGTTCTGACCATTTCTTTTCTAATTTGTTGGCATCGCTTCTGGGCCATGGTGGTTGGGGGTTGGAGGGAGAGTGGTGTTTGTTTTAAAGCCATGAGTCATTTTAGGGGGTTGGTACTCTTGGAGACTAACTCTCTCTTATTCAGATTTCCAGAGAAGCTTTGCAAAGCAATAGTAACCCAAGAATCTCCTTTACCAGAGACTAAGGTAGCAAAGCTTGCACATGGTGTAAAATTTGATAATAGTATCAACTTACTTTTGTCTTTCCCTTGCAATTTCCATCCTCCTCCAGCTTGCTCATGTTTCTGACTTTTTCTTGCTGGCAAAAGTAGAAACTGCAAGTCCTCAAGTTCTATAGCTTCTGGGGCAATTGCACTGCTTGTACCTAGAATCACAGAACTTGATTGATTGATTGACTGCATTTGTACAGTTCCTTTATTACAAATCACTTTACAGCGTGTGAGTGTTTACATGAAAGTGCTTATACCCACTTATAAGGGTGTCACGGTTTACACAGCACGTGCACACTCATTACGTATCATTTGTTCTCACAACAATGGAAACCACAGGATGTTACCCTGCAGGAAACTTGGCGAGTCCAGCCCGCTTGGTTTTGCATCTCTGGGAGCAGATTTTACATCTCAATACAGAAGGAAGAGCAGCACACTCATGTCATCCAGTCATTTTAACCTCACGTGAACAAGCGTGTCAGTCCCTGTCCCGAGAGCAGGCCTTTGTGGGGGAAGACGGAGAAGGCAGCAGGACAGTGGAGGGAAAGGTCATGCAAAGGGAAGTGGAAAGGCACTGAGGACAGCACTTCACCTACAGTCCCAGCTCCTTCCTTGAGCTGTCCTGCCGTCATCCAACAGCTTCACTCAAACCACACACGAATGATTATTGACTGGTGCCCATCTGTCAGCATCCCACCATGTTACCACTGCAGAAAGGAACACTGAGTTTCTGGCTGGCGTGATCATTGATTTCTCAGCCACAATGCCATGCCTACTTGGCTCTAGAGTAATCCTCTCCCTGGTGACCAGACTATTGTTCCCGATTTTCCCTAGAGCAGACATCACCTGCGGTCGTTCAGAGGGGCCAGTGAACAGAGTCACTCTGTTCCTGCAGCCAGCAGGACCCAACACGGCTTCCAGGCAGCAAGGTCAGAGATGCTCTGGAGGCAGATGAGACTGCCGCACGTAGCTGTGTGGGCTGTGTCTCGCACGAGGGTGCCTGACATCTTCGAAATCAAGGCCACACTTTACTTGCCAAGCTGTATGCGCTGTTTTTGCTAATTTGCACAGATTCTTTGTCAATTTGCCAAGCTCTGCATCTGCTGAACTCCATCCACCAGGGAGAGTGCCTTTTGTAAACCTGCAAAAATCAACTTTGTGTGCTAGGGTGGGCCTGCCAAGGCTGGGGCCTTGGGACCTTGGGGACCTCAGGCCTAATGGCCGTTCCACCGCTCCTCTCACGCAGTGATGCTCTCAGGGATTCAGGGATTCCAGTCTAACTGAAGTGAGACATCCTCATGGATCTTCTTTTTCCTTCCTTCTCTTTCTTTCCTCCTTCCTTCCTTCTTTGCTTCCTTTCTTCCTCTCTCCCTTTCTTCTGTCCTCCCTTTCTTCTATCCTTCTTTCTTTCCTTCCTTCCTCTTTCTTCCTTGTTTTTTTTTTAGTTCTTTGATTCTGGAAAACTATTAAATACAGCAAAAGGAAGAGAATACAGAAAAAAATTACAAGTATCTGTATTTATAAAATGAGCCTCTGATGGACTTCTGACACTTATTCCTCAAATCTCATCTCTGACCATGCCCCCCCATGAGCACCTGGTTCTTCTCCCTTTGATGGGATCTGATGGTCCACAGTGTGCAGGTCTGTGCTGCTGTGGGCCCCGGGCCCTGAGTTCCTGCTATTCACTCTGCTCTTTGACCAGGCACTGCCCCCAGACCTCTACACCCAGCTCTTTAACAAAGGCAAAACAAGGACACATTTTCCCTCCCTCGTCTTTCTCCCTTGTCGTGGACTCTGCTGGCAGGATGACTCATTTCTTCGTCATCCTCTGACCCGTTGGGCCTGTCCATCTGCTCTCAACTGCCTCCGTGCGGCGGGGAGGGAGCTATCGCTGTGTGTGTGCGACTCACTGGCAGTAGGTCAGCTCGAGGCCCAGCAAGGCCAACAGAGGTGAGGAAGACAAGGACTGATAGAGGACAGACTGTCTCTAACCCTCCCAGGAGCAGGAGACAAAATCATGCTCCTTCCCCTGGTGCTGATTGCTTAGTTGCCAAGGGTTTAACTGGGTGTAGCTGCTGGAGCCCTTACAGCCAGCCCCAAGGCACGCCCCGCCTCCCCGCCTGGCCCCCTACCCATCTGTCCAGGGCCTGCAAATGCGTTCATACTGCACTTCTCACTCTGCAATTCTCCAACATCTAGAATCGTGTTCCGTTTAGGAGGACCTTGAGTTCCTGAAATAAAACAGTAACCTGGCGGGCATCCAGAGAAAAGCCGAACCCAACTGCCTGGGCTTAGGGGAATGAGTGTGTGGAAAGGGCTGGCTGGTTTGGCATGCATGATGAAGAAGAGTTATGTTCCTCTTCCGGCTGGTGCTTCATTTACTCACTCATTCATTGTTATATTCAGATTTCTTCATAAAGTCCTGAGAGTTTAGAGCTCTCCCAATCCTCAAGGCTTGGCTAAGATAACAAAGAGCGGGACAATCTATAAATATGAGAAAAAGGATTAACATCAGGAAGAAAGAGGGGGAACACATTTAAGAAGATCTATTTTAAAAGGTTATAAGTAATGGGATAAAGTTAAGAAGGAAAATTTAAGAGGAATTTTGGGAAATTTTGAGAAAGGGGAAATTTAAGGAAAACAAAAAGAAAATCTGGAACAATTCCCTGTCACCAGAGGTCCACCGTGTGCTCCTGTCTTGGATGGCCTCAGCTTCCTACTTCTTTCTTCTGAAACCGGTGAGTAGTGGCAAGCTTCCTCCTAGGAGCGAGAAAAGGGCCCCCACCCTGCCCAGGAAGCGGGCCTTGGGCAGGCCGATTTAGAACAAAGGCCAGATTCTGCGCTTCTTTCTGTTTCCTTCACAGGGGGAGGGTTGGCAAGACTGCCT